AAAATACCATCCTCGTCCAGCAGAGGAGCCCCACTGACGTCGTACAATAATCTATACTATTAAAGACAAAATGTTTGTCTATGTGTGCGTCCGCCAATAATGCAATAACCAATTGACGTCGAGACCTGATGTACATCTGATCGGAAAGGTCTTGCATAGAGGAGTGTCATGGGCATATTTTTTTTTGGGGGGGGGATCTCCTATCGCTGATGAGCTATGACCTAAACAAGCTCACCACACATGTATGGCAGTTGGTCACTCAATCCAAGACACCATCCGGCTTGATGGCCGCTGTATAAATGCAAGTTGTTGTTGTTGGATTTGAACAGCAGGGACAGGAGGCCATTCAGCCCATTGCATTTGTTCCACTGGTTCATTAGATCAATTGTACGTCTGTTAATCCCATTTGCCTGCCCATGTGCATAAAATCCCTTAATAAATTTACGGTTTCCCTTTTTAACACAGCTCAATAGATTCGGCCCTGCACGGCTTTCTGGGGCAGTGCATTTCACGTTCTCACCGACGTCTTTATTATTCTTATTTATTTGAATGAATAATAATTCAGAATATATAATTGAATAATAATAAATGTAATAAATAATACTTGAGGAAGGGGGTGGGGTGGGGTGGAAGGAGGGAGGGAGGGAGAGAGGCATTGTGTTGGAACACACATCGTTCCATTTCATAAGAGGTTTCAACTTAGCTTGTAACAACAACAACAACTTGCATTTATATAGCGCCCTTCACGCGGGGTAGCATCCCGGAGCGCTTGACAGTGGCGGAGTCTGACTCCCTAAGCAATGGATCAGTATCAATAGCCTTTTGGATGAGGGAGGGTGTGTGGGGGGGGTGGGTGCTCTGCTTAAGCAGGTTGGTGGGGTGGGAAGGAAGAGGAAAACAACCAGCGTTCCTGCTTCCGACAGCTACTAAATGATCCCTGCTGGAACCTGCATAAGGCCAGCATCAACTGTGATTGTTTTCAGTAGCTAAATACACTGGAACCCACTCATTTAATCAACCATCCGCTCACTCACTCACTCACGCACCTACCCACTCACTCACTCACTCATTCACTGACGGTCTGGGCTCAGACAGCTGGCCTTTTGAATAGCACCTCAGCAACGAGCGAGAAAAAAAAACACTTGGGTTGGGAGCAAAGGGTGTGGAGCAAGTGCTCACGTACTTTCTTTTACAGGCAGAGAGAAAGAGAGACAGGCGCAGAGAGAGAGAGAGAGAGAGGACAGGCAGAAAGGCAGAGAGAGAGAGAAAGAGAGACTGGCACAGAGAGAAAGAGACAGGCAGAGAGAGAAAGACAGGCAGAGAGAGAAAGAGAGACAGGCAGAGAGAGAGAGAGAGAGAGAGAGACAGGCACAGAGAGAGAGGGGGGGATACAGAGACAGGAAGAGAGAGAGACAGGTGGGGGGGGGCGGTAAAGAGATAGAAAGAGAGAGAAAGAGAGAGAGAGTGGGGAGAGAGAGTGTGTGAGATTATTGCAGTGTTTAAACAGGTCAGGCAGCTCACAGAGGGGAAGGTGCACCAGGTCTGGTAGCAATACCTAAGAGCCAACGTCACTGAGTCTTGTCATGTGGGCCAAGGTGCAAGATTGATAACACAGTGCAGTCCTCCAGCAAATGATCTGTTAATCCTTGGTGTAACAGGACATAGCGTGTCAGAGTCAAATGGTAAACAATAACTCATGGGAAGGGAGGGTTGTATAATCCAACATTTAAAGCACTTTCACCTTTCAATCAATTTCCAATTCTCTAAATAAACACGTTTAGAAAATTGGAAATTAATTGAAAGGTGCAAGCGCTTAAAATCCTTTAATTCTCCTAATGCAAGATCTCCAGCATCTAAATCTAAAGTGCTGTGCTCTCTGGGGAGGGGTTAAAATAATCCTCCAGATAAATTGGTCATTCGCCTCGTGTCTATTTGTGAGACCTTGCTGTGTGCAAATTGGCTGCCACATTTGCCTTCAGTTACACGGTCACAGCAATTACTTTGACATTTCGAGACGTCTCAAATTATTTATCAAACGGCGTTAGAAAAGGGCTGGATCTGAGAGAGAGAGAGAGTGTGAGTGAGTGAGTGACTGTGAAGAGCGAGTTACTGAGTGTCACTCACCACCAGCCCTGAGAATGAAGTATTTTTCCATCTCACAGGGGCCAGCGCTCACTGTACGAGAGACGTGCTCAGCAATACACTGGAAAGGAAGCCACAGAGAGCCGGATGTCTCGGTTCAAGCAGAGCACCGCAGGGCTGGTAAGAGTGCACTGTGTAACCACATGGTAACCTGCATTTCCCCACCGCCCCCAGTCCCCACCCCCAAAGACCGTCAGTCGATACAACAGGATTAGCACATCACAGACGCCTTTCACCTCGTTAGGATGTCTCAAAGTGCTTCATACTGTCTGAGCCAAGGAGGGGGGGGTAGAGAAGGAAGCTAAAGAGGATGGGAAAAAAGACTGAACGCACGACCAAAGAAATAGGTAAAAGTGTTCATGACCTCTGCGATCTGAAACAGCATCAAAAGTGCGTGAAACCAAAGCCTCTGGCCGTGTCTTGCGTAGCTGTGGCTGCAATGAAGATTCTTTTGAACCCTGACTTTGGGTTGGGCTGGTGCTTTTTGCAGCCTCCAATGCATTCGCGGGGCGATGCCCCCACTGGCCGTCAAATAGCCCGGTCGGTGTGAGAGGACGATGCTCTCCCGACAGCCGGGCACAACAACATGATTGCATTTATAGAGCGCCTTTCACGTCAGGAGGACGTCCCAAGGCGCTGGACGGTTGGGTCGGGACCCGAGCAGAGGGGAAACGGTCAGGGTGAGGGGAGGGAAGGGAGGGAGCGAGGAGGGGGTAGAGAGTCAAGAGGGGAGCTGAAGGCACGGTTGAAGAGAACAATATTCCCGGCTGCCTGGCTCCCCCCGACTTTCCCCACTCCCCTCCCCACCCACTTCCCAATTCTTACACACGTCTGCCTGGGAAACTCATCATCTGAATAGATCCACGTGAGCTGCCCCTGCCAGCGACCACGAGCTGAGGCGCTATAACAAACGCAAGGATTATTATAAACCTTTCTAATGCTGGCAGACCAACGCTGTAAAGACTACAACAACAACATTTATATAGCGCCCCACACGCAGGGAAGTGGCCCAGAGCACTTTATTACACTGGGGGCCTGTGTGCAGTGATTTGCATTGGGGGAATTCAGTGATAAGGCACGTAACTGGGGCTAGTTCCTGACTAGATCCACTGTCTGTACCAGAAGGAAACACGGACAGTCTTAATGCTACACAATTGATTGCAGACTTCAAACATCCACTGGGCTTTCACTGTTTTTTTCTGGATGGTCTCCCTGTTGTTGTACATGATAGGGTTTCAAAAGTAGCAACAAGGGTCTAATATGTGGCAAATCTTAATAATAATAATCCTTGCATTTGATACAGCGCCTTATCAAGTCGTTGAGACCTCTCAAAGCGCTTCACAGAATATACTGTAAAGTGCAGTGACTGTGTATTTTGTGGGCGAAACGCGGCAGCCAATTGCGCGCAGCGTCGTCCCACAAACGGTCGTGGATGGACAGAATTCCTTGATAAACTGCAGGAATGTCACGAGGTCCCCGATAATTCCTCTCTGGCCTGATGTTGTTCCTGAGCGGGGCACAATGTTCCTTCCAGTCACAGTAAGGAGCCCCAGTTAGATTCCTCATCACTGAATCCCCAATGCGAATCACGGCACACGAGACCCCAGTATAACCAAGACACGATGAATGGAGTCCAGCAACACCAACCTCAGGCTGAGGGACCTGACGGCACTTTCCTTGTTGCAAACTGTCAAGTGGTGTCCAACGCATACAGTCTTGCCCCCTCTTTGCCCGTGTTCAGATCGCACCTGAAGACTTTCCTCTTGGACAGTACCCTTGGTCCCCTCCCCTTTCTCCCCCTCCTTTCAAAGAGCACACCATTCCTAAGCGCTCCGAGACGTCACTGCCCCTATATAAACGCGCCCAGACCTCCAATTCCAATACTCGGCTCCGATCAGTGAACACGGTCCCTGGGATGAACTGGAAAAACGATAGGAAACGCTATGCAGTTAAAAGTCGGTGCCAAAGTCAACACCTGATTGTTTCCAGCCTGATTCAGTCTCCCCACCACTGGCTTTCCGGATCCGTGGCCACATACCAACAGCTCCCATTGAAGCATGTGGTTTCTGGTGCTGCCTGCCACATCAACCTGACCACATAAGCACTTAGACTGTAGCCTGGCACTACATTCTTGGCATCTGTCCACTTGGAGGCACACATCACCAGTTGAGTGGTGGTGGGGGGCAGGGGTGGGGGGGGGCTTGTCTTGTGGTTTTGCCTCTTTCCCACTAAGGTAAGCATCCCCTTTCTCCTCCTCCTTTCAAAACACGCCATTGCTAAGTGCTCCGAGACGTCACATCGTGTATATAAATGCACGCTGTTGTTTGTCAGTTTCACACGAGCCTTTAAAAATGTCTGGGTCCCTTAAATAAAACCACTTATCTGCTGCTATCTACTGTGACAAAACTCTTCTGTAGGATTTGAAGCTGCTCTGTTTACTCCACTGGACACTCCAGAAAGAATAATAATAATTCCTGCATTCGAGATAGCGCTTTATCACATTGTTGAGACATCTCAAAGTTCTTCAAAGAATGCATTGTCAAGTGGTTTGAGTGACCAAATTGCTATTATTTTTTTTGAAGGGATTATTACCCCCGGAAAGTGATCCGACAATCGACTAACAACCGGGTTCCTACTTACTGCTGGGTGAACGGGCGTGTGGAGTTAGGAAACGTACCCAAGGTTTTGCCCTGCTCGGGAATCGAACCCAGGTCCTCTCGCTTGCGAGGCGAGCGCGCTAACCAATACAACAACGACAACGTGCATTTATATAGCGCCCTTCATGTGGGGTAGTGTTCTGAAGCGCTTAAATACGCTACAAATCTACTGGATACCAGTAATAGTACCCCCACTAGTACCTTTGAGATGAGCTCATCGTGGTTGGCGAGGTGGGCTCTGCAGTGGATGCAGCTGTACGTCCTGTGGCAGGTGGGCAGATAAGCTTGGAATGTCTTGGACCTCGTCATCTTCACCATGGGTGCCACCGGGCGCGGTGTGAACTCCGGGCTGGTCCACGAGGCGCTCAGACAGAGAGGTTCACACAGGAAACACTGGAGAGCACAGGTAAAGGCCGTGGTGTGGCGAGCGGGTGGTGTGGCGGGGCCCACACTCTGCTGGCTATGCAGGCAGTGACTGCTGAAAGACAAGCAGCCAAATGGGCAGGAGTCTACCTCAACCAACCAACCTGAGAGAACAGAGAGAACACCATCCATTAGTGTTAATGAGACAGCAATTACTCCAAACCAATCTGCAAGGTCCTCAGAATCTTCCCAGTCCTCCCGGCCCGCTTACTCCAATTAGTGCAATTACTGGCTTTGTAAATGAGGGCTCCAATGCACTTGGGGGGGGGGGGAAGCGAATCTGCATCCAAGAAGCATCAGCCCACCATCCTCCTGAGTGCTCCCTACTGGCTCAAGAGGAACATTATCAAATGCCTGTCAGGTGGAGATCAACAGCCTTCTTATTTACTGTTGTCCTGCATGACTCACATGTACATGAAAGTGAAGGATGTCACACTTTCAAGTGAAACTCTCCTGCACGCTTTATTATTACCCCCATCCCCTCCTCTTTGCTCAGGGCAGGTAACATGGTCGCCTTGGTACCTCCGCTAGAGTTGGGTGCACAGAGGCAACCCTCCACCCCTCCCACCCCCCCGCCACAAGGGATACCACTATTGAGTTGTGTTTTCTTCTTTGTCGTGGGAACTTTATTTAATTCGGGGAGAAATAAAGCGCTCTGGGACACCACCTTGTGTGAGGGGCGCTATATAAATGCAAGTTGTTGTTGTATGGGATAAGTGTAAATGTTTATTCGATTCATAAGCAAATAAATATATATTTTGTTTTTAAAAACACAGTCTGCAACTTCCCTTCCGCAGGTAGGAAGGTCCCCAGCGCTCACTCAGTCCACAATTACTATAGAGGGCCTCCCACATCGGGAGAACGTATCAAAACACGCAGCACTGCCACCCGGGCACTGGGCACAGACACCAAAGGGGTGGCGTTCCAAAGGGCGGGGGCACAATTAAAGTTCGCCAAATGATGATGGGGCGGGCAGGGGGCCCAAAGCAGGCGGTGCTTGCTGAGTGGAGGGAGTGAGACCTTGAAGGGATTTTGAAGGTGAGATTAAGGATCTTGAATTTGATCTGCTGGGGGATGGGAAGCCAATGGAGGGAACGCCTTGTTAGAGCATATCTATTGCTTTGAGATTTCTCTAACCCTCTTCCCCATTCCCCACCCCAACCCCGCACCCACCCCCTATGGGATAGTGAACAGCCTCTACTCTAGCGCATTATGGTGGTGCCTTTGCTGTATCAGGAATTTAATGGTTTGGAGATACACCAACACTCTACCCAGTTGGGAGTTTAATGCACCACACCATCCAGTGAATATATTTCAACACGCCTCCCCACCAACTCCGAATGGGTTAAACAAATTAGCAGGACTATAATCTTTAGTACGTCGTTTCTCTTGAAAAAAATATTAACTTTCACAACAAAGCTCAGAAATAATCTTATTTCCTCTTTCTTCAGTCTCATAGAGGCCAAAACCCAAATTTAAGAAATGCGAAAAGGCAGCTTCCAAGTAAAGACTAAATTTTAAGAGTTTTCCAAAATACTTTGCATTCTTTAATGTTAAGGCAATGGCTTTGGGCTGAGACCTTGAGAGAGTGTGTGTCTCACTTCACTGTGTGGGTTTATTAAATGGACCCATTTGTTTTTTTTGGAAAGGTTTGTGTTCAATTAAATAGGTCTATCTATTCAGAGACAATACTCACTCAAACATTCCCCCACCACACCCCTCACAAACGACACAAACGCACAACGTTTTATAAACCGCATTCGCATATTTTCTTTTTTTTTAAAAGACCAAACTTGCAGACATATAAAACAGAGCCCAACTCCAAGTCAGTGCATGCAGCAAGTTCAATTGTTTAATTCAAATAAAATGTGCTCGAAATGTAAACAGAAATTGTTCAGTTCACTACATTCTAAAATATCCATGAATTGGGGCTTCGGAGAAGAGAAAACAAAGTGGGTTTCTTTGAGAAATAAATTTTCTGGGCACCAATTTCATGCTGTGGGTGACAGCGAGAAAAATGTGTGACAGCATATTGTTTTTAAGTGCCATGGCCCCCTTTTAGGCACTGACTCATGCTGGTATACAGACAGCTCCCTGAGCAATGGGCTTCCATTACCAAATTGGGCATTATTTATATGTGAACCCACCTTTGGTCATTATTTATACGTTCATCTGTATGTGTGTGTGTGTGTGTGTGTGGAGGGGTGGGTGGGGGTAAGAGAGATGGTCCCAGATCAATGCCAAGGCCTGACCTCGTCTGACTCGAGCACTTTTCAGCAAGGGTCACTGAACATGAATAATAATAATCCTTGCATTTGATGCAGTGGAGATCAGAAGGAACCCTGGATCCTTCCAGGACCCAACCTCCAATTCCGATCAACTCATGCCAATAATACTGCAAAAAAATCAGACTTGGGGGAGTTCCAATGATCATCTGGTGATAAAGCAGAAGGTTAATTGCTGTGCCAATAGCTTAGCTCACACACACAGTCAGCCCAATAATGCGTTTTAAGCATTTTTCTCCCAGTGCTTCTCACTGCCTTAAAAAAGATATAAATTGGGTGAAAGGAAGGAATTTAATGTATTCAGTAGTTCCAGTATTCAATTGAATTTGCCGGGGGGGAAAGTTCCCCTTTAAGAATTGATCAGCATTTCCTGTTTTTGGCATACGGTTTCACAAACATTGCTTAGAGTGCTTTAAGCAAATAAAGCTGATATTGAAAGCGAGAGGAACTTGCACCCTGTTGCTCACTGCAATAATGCACTGGTGTCGGTGATCGACAGTGAGCCTCTGCCTCGCCCCCTTCTGCAGTGTTGGTAAACAAAGTTGGCACAAGTCCCTCCCCACCAGCAACCACGTCACTTCCGTAGATACTGGGCAATGAGGCTGTCACGGGGGGGCAAGGAGACTCCAGCCCACGTCTTATCCCGTTTACACAATATCTCAAGCCCCCCCCCCCCACCCCTCTCCCTGATCTGGTGACACTGAAACCCATGATCTCCCTGTCCACTCCTGACACTGTAAACCAGAGTTCCTTCTTACACCTGGGCAATAATAATAATAATAATAATAATCCTTGTGTTTGATACAGCACCTTATCACGTTGCTAATGACGTCTCAAAGCGCTTCACTGGGTATACCGTCAAATGGATCGACTGTGTATTTTGTGGGTGAAAGGCGGCAGCTGGTTGCGCACGGCACTGTCCCAGTGGGGTACACTGTACCCCAATGCTCCCTCGGTCACTGTGTGCAGTGTGATGTGGGGGATCCCCCTGTATTTGTACCTATATCTGGATGGATTAGGATTGAGGGTTTCCCCTGTTTGGGGTCCCACGGTAAACCCAGCGGCCTCCCTGTCACTGAATAAATACACGGTAACCCAAGGCTGCAGCCATGACTGGATACTGTGCCCAGGACTCCCTCTGGCACTACCACACTATGATTAACAATTCAGAGGACGGATAAGAACTGAATATTAAAAATTCACATTTGCCCGGGGCTTCGAGTCACTGTACTCGAAGGATGGGGTGGTGGGGAATTCAATATTAAAAAAAAATTGTAATGTCCTGCGTTGCTTGCCTTTATTTCTGTTTTTTTTGGGTGGGGGGACGAGAGTCTTGTTGTTCAAGAATTATAACAATAATAATCCTTGCATTTGATATAGCGCCTTATCGCGAGACGTCACATAGCGCTTCACGGGATGCACTGTAAAGTGAATTGCCCGTAGACTCTTTGTGGGCGTAATTATATACTTAGATACAAAACAGCTTTCTTTGGGGGTTTGTAAAAAAAATAAAAACACACAAAATAAAAGTACAATTTCACCGGTAAATAGATAATAACATTTTTTTTTTAAAAATGTCAGTAACTTGTGCAGAAGCCGGTAATGGTCCCAGGGGGAGGGAGAAAGTTCCCTGAGCAGCTCATTCCCATTCCCAGCAAAGCCTTGGTTTGTTATTATAATTATTGGGGGGGGAGAGGTGATGCGAGGAAGGTTTTTGGTCGGATTTAGATTAAAACAAAACTGTTGCTGCGTTTGGTGAAGAGACCATCTGTCTGTCAGTCTGTCTGTCTGTACTGACAGCAACAACAGACAGACAGACTGACCAGGGCTGAGGGGGGGGAGAGAGAGAGAGAGGTTGGGGGGAGGGGGTAAAAACCCTCTCAAATAAACATTAAAAAATATCCAACAACGCCAATATATACATATATATATATATATATACATACAAAAGCGACCTCGAGATCTGAACCAGATATCTCGGAAACGAGATCAGTTTTCAATACGATGTCTGTGTACGAATATTTTTTTTGATACAAAAATAATAAATAATAGGAATAAAACTAAAATGAGATTCCCCAATAGGGGTTAAAGTAGGACAATGCGTATCATTGTGGGGTCTGATGTGGGGCTCTTTTTTTTCTCTCTCTCCCTTGATCTCTCTCTCTCTCTATCTTCCTTGCTTTCTCTCTTTTTGCCTCTCTTTTCACTTTCTCTCTCTCTCTCTCTCTCTCCATCTTCCTCTTTTTTCTCTCTTATCTTTCTCTCTTTTGCTCTCTATCTTCATCTCTCCCTCTCTCTCTTTCTTTCTCTCTCTCTCTCTCCATCTTTTTTTCTCTCTTATCTTTCTCTCTGTCTTTCTCTATTCTGCTTTCTGGCTTTCTCTCTCTCTCTCTCTCTCTCGCATTCTCTTGCTTTTCACTTTCCTTCTGTCTCTCTCTCTCTCTCTCTCGCATTCTCTTGCTTTTCACTTTCCTTCTGTCTCTCTCTCTCTCTCTTGCTCTCTCTCTCTCTCTCCACCTCCACCGACGTTGCCAGTGAACACCCCCCAAAGGACTGCAGTGAGCAAAACAAACACAAAGCCCGAGTCAGACACGTTGTCCTCCTGAATGCACCAAACTCTGGGTCCCCCCCACCCCCCACACACACCATCCCCGTCTGTCTGTCTGTCTGTCTGTCTGTCTCCCTATTGACAAAGCCCACACGTACTTCACTTCTAAAGCAACATCTGCACACATGGTGTCTGTCTGTGTCTGTCTGTGATCATTGCTCGTCCTCATTGATAACCTTCTGGCATTTGGAAGTTTGATTTAGAGTG